AAAGAGAGGATTTGTTTTTTCTTTCCTTAGCCAAAAGTCTCAGATTTATCAGGCTGCTTGTATGTTTGCTCGCTGGCTAAACACAATAAGCCTTGGTCCCCAGTGTATTTACCTAGTTTTACTGTATAAATAATATCTACAAGGAGAATCAAAGTGGGGATGCCACACCACAGTTCAAGTGCAAACCAGTGACTCCTTTGCTGCCACAGGCGCAAGTCTGAGCCATATCAGCACTTCTCATAGAGCCTGTGAAGCACACGAGCCCCTGCATTTCCTGTGAGGATGCAGATGGGAGCTCAGATCTGAGGGGCCTCATAGCAGGGCAGTCAGATGTGAGACATTTCCAGACTCATGGACAAAAGCAGACCTGAGATTATTGGGAAGATACTCCAAACCCTTTTTTCAAAAAAAACCGCGGAAAAGTCCACTCTAAAAACACCATTCATCTCCAACTCTTCCCCTACCCTTCCTCCTTACCTTGCTCCACCCCATTAAAAGCTATTCAGTACACCAACTTATAACCCCACCAGGACAAAAATCAAGTCAAGAAGAGTGGCAGGCATAAATAAGACCATTTCCTCCCCTCCCCCAGTTTTGGATAAATGTTAAAAAAGGAGGAATCATAGAATCTTTGTACCATCAAGACTTTGCCAGCGATACAGAATTTACAGTGCTAATGGTGGGCAGCAATATGTAATTCAGATAGTTTGTGCTCCCTTTAAGTAAATAAGATTCAGTTTTCAGCATCCTTGGCAGCACAGCGCTGACTGTGCACAGTGGCGTTTCATCTTTGCAAGTTTGGCATTCAGCAGATTTCAGATTTTCCAAGAGTTGGCTAGGAAGCGTCCCGCTACATGCCTTCGCAGCACGCAGTTCTGGCACTGTTAATGCTTGAAATCAGTAGTGGCAGCCTTGTGCTAACACTCCGCTGCAGTCACTGCGCTTCGTGTAGCTAAACCGAGCACCTGTGACTGTACTGCTGGATCCCCTGGGTGCACCCAGGCTCTCTGCAGGAAATGAAGGGCTGCCTTGCAGTGGTTTGGGTTTTCCCGCTTCAAGGAAAGGAACGTACTGTGGTGGATTCAGCCTGTCCCCTTTCAATGTTGTACTAGAAAGATGTTGATTGCAGCCATTTTATTTATTATGTTTTATAATATAGTTTTTATTATTATATAAAGTTTGTGAGGGCCACTGAGGTAGTTAAAGAGCAGGCATTGAGTACTTGACCTGCACTTGGTCATAGGTCCAGTGTTGGGTGTTATCACGTGCAGGAGGATCATGTTGTAACATTTAACGGCTCTGGGTTTGATGTGTCTCCATGCCAATGAAAGGGCTGGATTAAGGGACACCTGTTCAGGCAGAGTCCCTTGCGTGCACCGCCCACAGCAGAGCTGGTATGAATTCTGGCCTATATGCATTTGTTTTAGAAAGCAAACTAGTAGGAAAGTGAGTTTTGGTGATACTGAAATGACACAAGAGCTCAGTAAGAAACCTTAACACTGCATTGATAAACTATTTTCTACACAAATTTCCCAGCTGGAGGTTGAGCTTGGTATTGGGGAGCAGGGGTTGGCTTTGTTTTGTTTAAATAAAATGGCTCATTTTGAACTGGAGCAGTCATTTACATGGCTTTTGGCCTCAGGCAGACTTGCAGCTGAGTTCCTAGGCATGAGCAGGTGATGGTAATGGGCACTCCTGGGATTCCTCTGGGAGCACCTAACACTCCCTGCATTGTCTGGTAGAGTTGAAGGGCACCGTGGCTACGCACCGATATGTCTGGCATACATAGCTGCTAGTGAGAGGAATCACAAGCGGTGCCCTTTGTCCCCAAATCTCAACAGTTTGATTACGCAGCAATTGCAGTAATTTTAACTTTTGTCTCTTTCTCCTTTCCTCTGTCTCTATTACATATAAATCCCCAAAAGAGGCCTACCCACCTCTTTATATCCCATCAATCCATCAGGATTCTGAGGCCATGAACGCACAGAGGTTGCACTTCATTTGGTTTTTGACAGCCTCTGCCTCTCTGTGTATGTATGCGTATAAATATAAATGTATATATATACACACTTATGTATGTATGTGTATTATTCAGATGCTGCATGGGAAAATACATATTTTTATATATGTATATATACTACAGTATTTCTGTTTTCAAGTCAGCTGTTTAAAAACACGGCTGCATATTTCCTTAGCTACCAGGCAGCATACTAAACCCAGATTCTGCTGGCCTTGAATGCTTTGGCCAGCCTTTTCCAGGCATGTCCCAGGTCTTCTGATTGACTAGTCCTTTGCACTAGCACCCTACGAATTGTCTTCCTGCAGGGCAATCTGGTGTCAGTTTGCCAGTCTGGTGTAAGTCTGTGTAGCAAACTCACCAGCTTCAGAGACTCGGGCTCTGTCAGCAAATGCTGGCGTAGGGAGGGTGGATGTCACAGGGCAGTGGTTGAGTCAGGGCCCCTGAATCCAGTCCTCTCAGAGAAGAGTTTTCAAGCATCATGGAAATAGCCGCGGGATCACCTGAACTGCAAATGCTCGAGGGGCACAGGCATTTCAGAAGTCACTCTCGGTGACCCTGAAGCTCTGCAACAGAGGGTTTGCCTCTCTGTGTGTATCCCTTTCCCCACGCTTTGACTTGCATACGGCTTGTTACTTAGAAATCTACGGGACGCCAAAGAGCAGGAGCTAACTCGGGTGTCTTCAACTGGCTAATGCTTCCTCCTAAACCTCCAGGCTGAGGACAATGATGTCCTCCTTCCGATTCCTCTGCTGCCATACAGGCTGCATTATAAAGGGTAAAACAATGCCTATAGTCTCTAGCCACATCAAAATACCTTTAACAAAGATAATTATGAATTTATCAAAGGGTTACCTCCTCATTAATGTTAAGACCACGACCCTTTGCGTGTTCTCTGTCACATCGGTGAAGACTTTTGTTGTAACCCTCTGGTCTTTTAAAAATGGCATCATAAGTGGAAACACCTCCTGTCTTGAGAAAAGGGTAAAAAATGGATAATTCACAGTATTGTTTAACTTTACAAGTTACAGAATATATGCAGTCAAATCAATACTTGAACAGTGCACACAGAGCATTAGATAATGACAGCTGTAGTATTACTGAGCTACCATCAGCAAGTTTGGGTGACTCCTTTGGAACAGTCTGCAATAAAAATACCTAACAACACCTGATATCTTTTTTTAAGTCTGTTCAGCTCTGAAATTTCCATGGTGACAATTTACATCATTTTTCCCTGTAATCTGTTGTAACTTTTGGAAATGTAACTGTTTTATTTGTTTTAATTTTCTGACCTTTATATTCTCCTTCTTAAGTTTATAAATTTGTCAAATGATCTGGCACTGTAATGTAACAGGAAAACAAGCAGTTTCAAAATTCATTTGGAATGAAAAAGACAAAGGTATCCTGCAGTGAAATCATGATTTAATTTCTGATTAAAGAAGAGTTACGAAGAGTTCAGAAACATGCCACAGTGGTAATCCTGTGATCCAGTAGTATGCATGTATCGGTCGTGTATGGAAACACAGCACACCCCAAGCCAGAATATTGTTGTATTAATGATTCCTGTTAACATAGTTGCATCCAAATAAGCAACACTAAAGATCTGATATGCTAATAAATGCATTTGTGAAATCCAATCAAGAAGTCGTCTCATCACTGGAATCACAGGAATTTCAAAACAAAAAAAAGTTTTCAAGGACAGAAGAGCAAAATCCCCTGTTGAAATATGCTGTCAGCTGCAAATGAACTTCATTAAAAGGTCCATATTCTGGTCACCAATCAATGATTTTGTGCACAGCTGACTACAAATTTGAATAATTGTGCATTTTGTTGGCTTTTTTTACCTCATTTTACAGCGTGCCCACTTTAGCCTTTGAAAATCTCTTGGGTTTTGAGTCTTACAATTTACAATGCTATCCTCCAAAAATAGTCAAGTCAGGGCAGGTCAAGCAGGCTATAACAGTTCCGTTAAGAGGCACCCATAGGTAAGAATGCTAGTGAGGCACTGCTGTAATCACAGGCTTCATTTGGAAGGGCATCTCCACTACTTCGTTCTGCCAAGAGGAGAGGTGGTTTGATAGTTAACCTATCCATCCCTTCATTTCTCAGAAACCATCAAGCCTCACAGCATTTCAGGCATGTTCAAGAGCATTCTGCATCTGATTTGTCACCTCTGTTACTACCGTTATTTCTGTTCTTCCTTGCTTGTCCTTTCCACCCCACGCTACCAGTTTAATTCAGAATTTTAGTGGGCGTCTAATTCGTGCTCACCACTGGGAATGTTATTTGCTCCTTTGTTGTTATTCAGGTGGCCTTATTAGTCCATTATTTGTTACCCATGCCAGAGCAGATGTTTCATTCTTTCTGGAACTTGCAGATAGGTAGCCAGCCTGTTATGTTAAAAACTAGCCCTGTCCCAGATGATCTGTTTAAGATCTTCTGCCAGATGTGTAGAGGCAACACTATTGTGCTCAATATACTGATAACATTTTGCTGTTGCTTCTCTTTGTTGTTAAATGCTGACTTAGTTGGCCTAGGTGGTGGAGAGCTGTGTCTTAAACCCATCAGAGCAAGTGAACCATGCAGAGCAGACAATAAATTTGCACTCAGGGTGGGCATCCTCTGTGTGCTGCTACTAAAGCTAAGCACTTTGCAAACATTCATTAATATTCCAGACAACATAAAATAGGTAACAGCGTTCTTCATGTCACAGAAGAGGAAACAACATGCAGACTGGCTACAGTAACTTATGTAAAGCAATCGAGGGAGCAACTGTCAGTCAAGAGATTAAAAATCAGGAATTTCTGGCTTCTGGCCATGTGCTGAGCATATCTTCCTCTATTTCTCTCTGCTTCAATCTCTGACACACAGTTGGTTTTATTAGGTATTTAAGCTGCAAAAATGAATGAAATTCCCTTTATCTATAAATAACCTGACCTGCCCCAGCCCGACCCTTCTGGTGCTCTCCCTACCGTGTTTTGTCAAGCGTGGCACCGACTGTGCCCGCTCGCCTTTGGCTCAGCGCACCTTCCCAAGGCGACGCTGAAACAAATGAGAGAGTCTGAAGCTACAAATCCACCTGTCTCTTAGCAGGGTCGCCCCACCAGTGGGGGAAGCCTGCTGTTCCTCCAGCGCCCAGCGCTTTGGCCTGCACCCTGCCCAGATCCCAGGGCCACAGGACCTGTCGACTCACCTGGGTTGCCAGTCATCGCTGCCCACTGCTTGCCACGTTCTGCAGCCTGTCCCTTGGGTGGGGAGGGGGGATTCACGGCACGTATCTACTGCTGTAGTTAAATATATGTTGCCGTAATACTCGACATTTCAGAACTTTTTAATGCTAGTTTTGAGGAGGGAAAAGCTGTTAAATTGAATGTCTCATATGACTCTCTTCAGGGAGAAAAAGGTTTGCTACCCAGCGAGCACAGCCGGGCTGAGGCTGAAGGTGCAAGACCGTTTTAATTTCTGATTTCAAATATGAGGCCTGAAGGGATGAGGGACAAAGGCGATACAGGGCAGCACATAGTACAGAGGGGAGGCTCCCAGCAGGCCTGCTGGAGCTACTGCACGTGAAGTGCCAGCGTAACATCTTTAGAAGCATTCAGTTATCAAGGAGTACATTGATGTTATTGTTTTGAGTAGCTCTACTGATTTTCTTTATTAAAGCTGAGCATATCGAAAAGTTGTGCGGTGCATGTGGAAAACCTCC